TGATGTAACCTCATTGCTAATAATGAAGATTCAAGGCACAAATTACCAAGTTGAAGCAAACGTCTCTCTTTATCCTGAAGAACTTAAGATGCTCGTCGTTGCTCTGCAAAGCTTTGTATTGTCTAAAGCCATGTTCAATTCATTCTCTGTTCCTCTTTCATGGTTGTCTCAAGTTGGATCAATAGCTACATACTCTAAAGCTTTGGATGCAGTTTTGTTTAATCTTGTGACTGATAAGAAGGTTAGACTCTCAAAGAAGTTTTTTGCCAAATTCTCGATATACCCAATTCTCCGCCATACGTCACTTTTACATTCCCACAAATTTTTCACATGTTCAATGAAATGGGTCATCAACCCCAATTGGCAAAGATAAGTGATTTCAAGAAGTCAGGACTTCCGAGTGTTTGGAATTTTTTGTTCGACATTTTTCTCAGATGTTTAAGTGGAAGAACTGTTGGGTTAGACAAGGGGAGGATGGAAGTTTATGCGATGGTCGCAGGTTTATACTATGATCTTCAAGTTGATTACTCTACTCAATTATGGAAAGAGTTCTTGAAGAGTATTGAGAACGCGAATGCTCTTCATGGCATTTTGTGTGCTCGATATTGGAGTTTGATTTTACAATATTTTTATAAGAAGGAAGGGATTTTGGTTCCGACAGATGAAGAAAAGGCTGTGTTTCATGTCTATAGTTGTCCGAAGGATGCAACTGATGATACTGACGAATTTATAGTTGTTGCTCGCATTCCTAAAGCCATGATGAAAAAAGTTGATCCCACTAACACAGTTCTAATCAACTACTTACAAACCATCGATAATTCTATTGAAACCAGGGTTCTTTTGGCTAGAGAAGAAGAGACGAAGACTAAACGTTCGAAGAAGGTTGTTGCTGAATCTTCTAAGAAATCTGTCAAAGAATCTAAATCAACAAAGAGTTCGAAGAAGTTACCAATTACAGAAGTTGAGCCAATCCAACCTGAAGTTGTTGTTTTTGATACCCCATTCACTCAAAAGGAAATCATTCCTTCAAAGACTGGTGTTTTTCGAAGAATCAAGATGAAGTCAAAACATAAGAGTCGATCACCTCTAACAAATGTTGTTCGCAAACCACAGGTTTCACATCAAGGAGTTATCTTTTGTGAGATTCCTACACCTGCTTCACCATCTTTTAAGAAGAGAAGGGCAAATGATATGGTCAAACACATATTGAAGAAGAAGAAGAAGAAGAGTAGGGTGATTATTTCATCAGAGTCTACTGATGATGAAAATGAAACAATTCCAGAAACACCAGAAGCTGATCTTCAGAAATATTTTTCTCATATTGCATCAACTGTTGTAATACCACCGAAAGTTTCGGTTGTCAAGACAGTTTCTGTGGAGGCACAAACTTCTGACATTTTCGTAAACATATCTCATATGGATGCAAATGTCACAATGGGTGAGGATGCTTCGCACACTGGAGACAAAGGTAAACCTTCGGATGTTACCCCAGATAATATTGTTTCTTTACCTCCACCACTCACACCTGTCATTCCTACTACATCCACAACTGATTCTCCTACCTTTGAAAACATCATCAAACAATACACCTCTTTTTCTTCATAATCCATTGATCCACCTACCACCACTTCACCAATTCAAGATTCTTCTTTCATGGAAACTAAACATGAGTCCGAAGGTTTTGGAGGGACATTTGAAAATCTAGAGTTTGATGAAGAAGAGACTGACTTCCCAGATCACATGCTCATGACAATGAAACAGTTCAAGATATTGAATACAAAACTCAATTCAATTCTTTAGTCTTAGACTGATCTTGGGGGAAGAAATTTAGTGACCAATCTAGAAGTGGATGGTCTGTTAAAGTTGCTTGAAGGAAGGCTTACTTCAAAGGTTTCGGGAATGATAAAAGATTTTGAGTCTCATCTCCTGGAAAAAATTGATATTTGTGATCAAATCAATGAGATGAGGGTAAATTCTCAGAAATCTAATTTTGAAGGTGACTTGAAATAATTAAAAATGGTGGCAAAAGAACGTCATGTATTATTTGTTCAAGATGTGAAGAAAGTGCGAGAAGATGTGAATTTTAAACTCTAAGAGCTTCGCGATGATATGGAAAAAGAGATTGTAGTTGTTCGCACAAAATTTGCATCTCTAAATGAGGTGGATATCATATGTGATGCAGTTACTAAATTTTCTAAGTTGTACTTAAGTCTGAGTCCTCAAATTGCTCAACTTTCCTCAACAGAGAACAAGAATTTCATGGAGGTTTTCACGTTGTTAAAGGAGCTTAAAACCTTATCTTCAACACCTGCTTCGTCTTCTCTGCTATCTTCTGAAGATCTTATCAATAAATTTTCTCAATTCAAAGCCTTAATTCTTCAACAGTTGGCTCCTCTTTCGCGAATATCTAGCCTTCTTCCCACAATGGATGCCCCACCTACTAGTACAGGGGTGCAAGGGGGAGAAAAGAAAATTGAAGGTTCAAAGGCTGGAGGCGAAGATGCGAAGGTAGTGGGAAAGGTGTTTCCTTCTAAAATTCCAACATCAAAACCAGCGATAGTAACTGTTGGTCCTATCTCTTCAACAATAGCTACAACTGTGCCAATCACAAGACCAATTTCGAAAGGAATTGTGATTGGTAAATCTATTGACACTGGTAGAAGTGATACGAAAGCAAAAGAAGTGATAGAGGAATCTGTTTCGAAGGTAAGGGGAAAGTTAATACTAATTGAAAAATCTAAAGAAGAGAAGAAGGCAGAGGCTGAGGCAGAAGTAGAAAATACGAGGATGATTCAAAGCATAATGACTCAAAGGGCTAGTTATCCTCCTGGCATGAACAAGGGTGATCCATCAAAGAACTACAATTATGAAACAACTGAAGCCAAAGTTGCATTCAATCACATGTATTTGTTTGAGAAGAAGCCTAAATAGAGTTATACTGTCACGAATGCGGATGCAAGCCAATTGGACTTTCCAATTAATGAAATGATGTTCATCATGCCTCAATTTAAAGCAGAAAGTGAATTCAAGGAGAAGGATGAAGGTACTCAAATGAAGATCAGATTTCATGCAGTTCTTGCGAAGCCTGCAGAAGAAGTATGGTCATTGACGAAGATAAAGAAGGTCATAAGCATAAAGAAGGATGTGGTTTTCGAAAACATTGTCCAAAACATGAAGTATATTGTGACCAGGGCAAATGGTAATGTGTGCGAGTTTACAATTGCTGACTTTCCTTTGATGAACTTGTATGATCTTATACAAGTTGCATTATTGCTGAAGGAAAGGTCTTTTTCATATCTTCAAAACACAGAGCCTGATGAGTACAAGCTGGGAGTTACTCACATCAAGATTTTTATTGAAAATTATTATGAATGTTTAGCAATGACTGATGTGGAGTTGGCTACAACTAAAGGTCTGGAAATTACAGCACCTATGGCTCCTTTGAAGACTCAAGCAGACTTAAAGAAATATGTTGATGGTGAAATCTGCTTGAAGCCTTTTAGCTTAGTCTTCTTTGGGAAGGACAAGTCAAGAAAATCAAAAAGGTTTTTGTTCCAGGCGAGTGAAGTTGAAAGATATCTACTTCGCAATATACGAACTTGATTGTTCGTATGAATCATTGCAAGAAGAATAACGAAGGAGACAAGAAGGAACTGAAGAAAATTATCTATTGGTATACTGAGATACGAAGAGTAATGTTGTACTCCATTCAACTGCTTACGAACTGAAGTCTTCAACTCTGTTTACAAAGGGGGAGAATGTAAGGGTAGTTTGGTTGTAATGAGTCGAAGCCTAATGTGTACTCTTCATATGGTCTATAATATATTTTACTAGGGCTCTTTAGATTCGAAGCTTAAATGTTTTAGCTTTAGTATATTTTTTGTACGCTTTATGTATACTATAAATAGGATCGTTTACTAGAGTTAGATAACGTGAACAACATTGTCTATTCTCTCTATAAAAACTCTTAAAGTGTAATTGAGCTGAAGTGAAAATCTTATTTACATCGTGTGTTCAATTACTAATTGATTCATAAACATTTACTCTGATTCATTTCATACTCGATTTTTTGTTCCATCAAAAATAAGAATAAAGATTAGATAAAGAATATATGAATGTGAAGATAGCTAAGAATATAACTCACTAGACACCATGTGTCTGATACCACATATGTGCTTCTGTTTGCAGGTTCATGTAGTAGTAGTCGTGGTACCATAAGTGAAGACAAGTGCACAAGGACCTAGAATAGGTTTTATTTCCATGTTGTTCTAATTTGTATGAAAGTTTCATTGTACACTTGTGGTTGTGCTAGGGATATAAAATGTTTTTATTTTTATGAGTTAATAGAATTCCACAAATTTTTAGAAATAACTTTGATAATCCCATTAGATTAGATGATAGAAAATCCGGGTCATTACATATTTCATTCGTAAGGTAATACCTAAACTTATATTAATTTTCATTCAGTGTGAAAGGAGCATCCAATGTCTTTCCTAACAAAAGATTGTTGAATAATGGTGATTGATCAAGAACATTGATGTTATTGTTGGAACCCGCAAACCCAAAATAAGCATGCCAAATCCATAAATCTTATGATGCAACTACCATGGTTGTTAACATCGTGATCCTGATCATAGGATTATACGATCCTACGATCCTACCTAAGTAAATTGATCCCGTCCGTTTTTCGATAGCATCGTGGTAGGATCGTAGGATTGGATCATAAGATCGTAAAATCGTAGGATCATTAATATATATATATATATATATATATATATATTAAAATCAAATATTTTTTTGGATTAACTACGTAGAATATCCATTTTGAATTGTTTATCATTAAATAATGTATTAGAAATGTATTTCTTATGTTTTAAAGTAATTATTGTTAATTAGATGGTTAACTGATGGATGAATATGTGGTTTTTATGTTTTAAAATGCTTTTGGTGCGATCTACGATCTGATTCGATCTTTCGATCACAATTTTGCAAAGCAGAAAATGATCCTACATAAGATTCCAATCATAAAAGCCTTGGCAATGTCTCTAATACCAATAAAGGCGCTCCATAATGACCACTTGCATACTGACCTTTCCACGCCACGAGAAAATTTCTCAAATTCCAATGTGTATAATCAATGCTTCCAAGTATACTCAGAAAACTATGTCTTTCGTCATATGCCACATATATTTGTTGCATATCATTCAACGATGGTTTCCACAAATAAACATCATCGAATGTTTCAACAACACCTTTTGCCAATCTATAAAAAATTTTCTCTTGCAATTCTCTCAAACATTCTCATATAATTGTCAATAAAATTTGGTGACCCCCTATTGCCATAATCTTAATTGCAGTAACTCGTTTTCTACCACCATGTAAATCATCACCTATCTCTAGCATCATATCTCACTTGAAAAAAATCATACCTAAACATATATCTGATAGTTAAAAAAATATTTATTTAATCTAACAACTATATTTAAATATTCATACCTAAACATATATTTAATAAGTAAAAATATACTTATGTTATCTAGAAGCTAAATTCAAAATATACAAAAACTGAAAGAAACGATATCTGCTTTCCAATGCATTGGCCATTCATACAAACACACATTTTCACAATTGAAACTTTCTTTTGAATCGCTTGGCTAATAGACACACTTTTCCGCAAATATAATCATGAACTAGACGTTCGTGTCCTTCGTGATTTTTATTTAACATCGCACGTCTTATTAATAGAGAAGCTAGATCTGGTTGTAGTAGTGCAATACTCGTACATCGTACTTATGAAGATATCATCATCATCATCATCATCATCATCATTGAATATGTCGAACGGATCCATTTTTTTGTAGAAGTATTGAAATTTTATAAAATATAAAGAAAGAAAAAGAATGGTGTGAATGAGTTTGAGGTAAAAGGTATGTATTTATAGGTAATACAAATTTATTATTATTATTATTATTATTATTATTATTATTATTATTATTATTTTGAAAAATGACCTTTAATATGGTCAAAATCGGAGTCAACATCGAAATTTAATTGGATATTCCTTCTGTTGCTCACCGTTCTCATTAAGGGTGAACAAACCCGAACCACGAAACCGAGAAACCGATAAAAACCGACGAAATCGAAATCGAAAAAACCGAAACCGAATCAAAACCGACTGTTTGGGTTTTAAATTTGTAAAAACCGACTTTCCGGGTTCGGTTTCGGTTTTGCCCCCAAAAACCGACCCAACAACCCGAGAAACCGATCCCTCTTTAAAACCCAGAAACCGACTAAGCAAACCCGCAAACCCGATGTTTTTTACTGATTATTTTATGTTTATATATATATATATATATATATATATATATATATATATATATATATATATATATATATATATATATATATATATTAAAAAACTAAAAATAAATAAAAGAAGCTTAGGTGTTTTTTTTAATTATTTAACTAATTATTACATTTCCGGAATATGGGTTCAAACCCAAAACCCATGGGTTTAAACCCAGAAACCGTAAGTGTATGGGTTGAAGCCAAAAAACCGAGAAACCGTCCAAACCAATATCAGAAACCGAGAAACCGAACCGACCAGAAACCGACCCTATTGGGTTCTGAAAACCAGAAACCGATCATTTATGGGTTGGGTTAGGTTGGAGTCCAAAACCGACCCATACACAGCCCTAGTTCTCATCATAATGAGACTTACCTTAACGCCGGTCTAGAGCAGTTTGAGAGCGTTACAACACCATTAAGACGCCTCCACGACGGTCAAAACACCCTTTAGCGAATCCGAACCAAGTAGTCTAAGAAAACCAGACTATATTTGTTATGCGACAACCTAGTTTCTCAATTTTCATGCATTAAACTCAATTTGGTCAACGTCTTAAAAGTCTAAAGTCTAAACGTTGATTTAAAGAAGTACAGGGGACAATATGAGAATAAATAAACTTATGGGGTTTTATTGTGAACTTACTCTCTTCCAGAAATTAAAAACCCTAACAAAACCCAAGGTTAAAATCAAAACCCCTCATCTCTTTCGAAGCTCACTGGCATTTCTCAATACCCTCGCGATACAAAGGTACTATCTTTCTTCCCTTTAACCCAGTTTTTGATTACCCAACATCTTCGTTCTGTTGATTTCGATTATGTATGAATTTCAATTTTAAGCACATATCGAAGCTTTCACTTGCGAAGTAAGCTTGTGGAGCTCAATAATGGTGCGAAATTAAAGATTCATCTATCATTGCTATTTCCTTTTGATGTTTTGTAGACATAACTAGAATAGCGTGATAAGATGAACTCTTTACCTCGATTAACCTTTGCTTGATTGTTCAAGGATGTTATCTTTGCTTTTTTGCGGGTGTTTAGATCTGAGTTTAAGCCGCTTAGGTTTTGGCATATATATTCTTAGCTCCTTAGGGTGGTTTGGTTGTGGAAAATTGTTTTCATTTTCTATGAAAATGTTTTAAGAAAATAGGGTTGGGTTTTTATTTTTAATTTTCAATGAAAACGCATTTGGTTGAAACGGGTGGAGTTTTCATTTTCATTTTTCCTCTTAGAAATTTGGAAAACTGTAAAAATCACTTTTCTAATTTACATCTAAATTGGAAACTGAAAATTTTTATTTTCTTAGAAAACTAAACAAAATTTCCGTATTTCTTGGAAAATTTTCCACAACCAAACGCAACCTTAGTGTTTGAATTTCATATCTCTTTGGTAAAAGATTGATACTTGATAATTAGTAACAAAACATGTATTATATATATATATATATATATATATATATATATATATATATATATATATATATATATATATATATATATATATATAGAGAGAGAGAGAGAGAGAGAGAGAGAGAGTAACAAATTTGCTGAGAACAAAAAATGGTTTTGATATAATTACATATTTGGTATATGTTACATCAAATATATTCGAAAAGCACAACTAACGAATTTAAACAAACCACAAGGTATGATTCTAGAAAGAAATCACAAAAGGGGTATGTAATGTTGCTACCATTTTGAAAGAATTAAGAATCACCAAAGTAATGTCTAAACCCAATGATTTAAAACAAAGATAAAGAATCCCAAAACAAGGAAACACCACACCGTTTCAGTTGTCTCACAGATCCAAATCAAGAATCCAAATAGATTTTCAACGAAACAAAATGAGGGGTTAAGACCACGCAATAAAAAAATATCTTAATTTTATTTAATATATTTGATAAGGATCAAAAACTTAATGGCTGTAAAAAACAGTTACTAAGCTGTTATAAAAAATCATGTCACCTTACATTGACTCAATCAGATCTGACTTAATCAAAACTATCAAATTTGCAGATTCGGATACAAAAAATGACCAATCCAAAGGTTTTCTTTGACATACTAATCGGCAAAGCGAAAGCCGGACGGATCGTGATGGAACTATTTGCTGATGTCACTCCAAAAACCGCTGAAAACTTTCGCGCGCTTTGCACGGGTGAAAAAGGACTTGGAAGTTGCGGGAAGGCATTGCACTACAAAGGCTCAGCCTTCCATAGAATCATCCCAAACTTCATGTGTCAAGGTGGGGATTTCACTAGAGGTAATGGAACCGGAGGAGAATCAATCTATGGTGCAAAGTTTGCAGATGAGAATTTCAAGATCAAGCACACGGGTCCTGGGGTGCTCTCGATGGCAAATGCGGGACCCAATACTAATGGGTCTCAGTTTTTTATTTGTACTGATAAAACTTCGTGGCTTGATGGGAAACATGTGGTGTTTGGGAAGGTGGTTGATGGGTATAGTGTTGTGAAAGAGATGGAGAAAGTTGGATCGGATGGTGGTGCGACTTCTGCAAAAGTTGTTATTGAAGATTGTGGAGAGGTTAAGGAGAATTGAGAAATTAGTTTTATTTTATTTGGTAGTTGTTCAAAGTTATCATATTTTGTAGCTTGTTTTGTTTATTACAACCTGCAAATGGATCTTTTTATCGTTTTAAAGTTTTTGTGAAACACGAATAAAAAAAGGATATGTTTCTCAAGTATTATCATGTTGTATACCCTTTCTGATGCATTTCATCGAACACCTTCTGTGCTTGACCAAGGTTGAACTAGAAGTTTCACAAAACCTATGAATCAGATACATCTGCTTTCTTACATGCCCCTGAAGATGCACGCTCTCATCTGATTGGAGTTTTTTGTTACCCAAATCTGGATTAATTTGTAATCATGCATTATTTCAAGCCCAGAAATGGACAGATTAGAGCTAAATCTCAATTGTTTAATGATTTCTCGTGATCAAGCTCTTTTGAGTTTAAATCCAGTTCGCATTCTCTTCTAATATTGTCAATGCATTGGTGAATGAAATACCTTAATTTTGTTCGTATGATAACGAAGCTTTTTATTTCCAAATTATGTATCAAATCAAAAGGATATTTGTGCGCAAGCATTCATTTCCATCAGATGAACCGTATAAAGAATTTAAAACTTGGACTAAAATGCGGATACATATAAACCTCATGGACCAAAAGTGTATTTTACTCCAATAAAAGGATATTTAATTTGTCATAAATAAATGAAAACGAAATGCCATGAAGTCATAAACAGCAGGTTGGTCAAACGATTTGTCACAGTACGGTTCATGCAGTCAACTTCCGCAGCTTCTAGAATCTTCGTACTTTGAAATCAAAAAGGTTCATCGTCTATAACTCTATATGGTCAAACTTTCAATATATAACATTTATAGAGTAAGTGTGTCTTACTTGTCCAAAAAAAGTATTTTATAGATAAAAATATAAGATTACGGAAAAGGATTTTTATGGTTTATCTAAAGTCATAAATTCATAAATTCAGTTATTCTTAATGTTTTTGATGCAAATGGTTCTTGCTGGTTTGCATGGAAAATCATTTTTACTCACGCCGTTCATTTTCTACCTTCAGTTGGTCATATCATGTTCGTGACATTTAGTAAAATATAGGGATTATTTTTGTAATTTCTCTTAAAATAAAGAAATCCAAGAAATAGAAAGAAGGAGTATTCAAACTTGGGAACTCCTCTCCTTCATCGAAATAAACCAACTCCCTAACTAAGAACTAATCTTGGTTTATAGTTCCATAGCCCTAATCAATTAGGATAGAACCAATCTTGGTTTAAAGTTCCAACACCCTAATCAATTAGGTTAGAACCGATTTTGGTTTATACTTCCAAAAAGCAATTAATATCATGTAAAACCGTAAAATTATAAATAAAAAAAAATTACAAAAAAAATATAATTAAATGTTTTTTTAATAGAACAAAATATACTTTTACCTACTGTAAAAGCATAATTTTTTACAAACAACTTATATGTTTTTGTAAGTATTTATTTTATGTTAAACGTTTTTATATGTATTTTAAAAACACGTTTTCTTATAATGTTATTATGTTGTTATAATCTTAAGATATAGTTTTATTTTATGTTAATATCTTTAGTTGATTTAAACTAAAAAGACAAATATACATAAAATCATGGACGTTTTCGATACATCTTTAGTTTATTTAAAGCAAAACATAAAGTATACGTAAAATAAACTAAAAAAATATGTTTTTAATATATTTAAAAAATACATTTTCGTATAATATGTTATAACGTTGTTATAATACTAATTTTTTTTTCGTGTAATATGTTATTATGTTTTACTTTAAATCCTAAGAGTTTTTTTTTTCTTTCATTAAAAAATAAGTTTTTTTCTTTCCCGTAATAAAAAGTTTTTTAAGTATTTATTTATGTAAAATATTTTTTTTTATGTATTTAAAAGATATGTTTTCATATAATGTGTATGGAAATATATTATAACAACGTAATAATATATTATATCAAAAAATACTTTTTAAATGCATAAAAAACATATTTTACATAAAATAAATATGTTAAAAATAATTTAAGTGAAAGCAAAAAAATCTTTTTTTTTATGAAAACGTGAAAATATGTTTTAGAATAATAGCAATGTAATAACATATTATATGAACACTTATTTTTAAAATATATAAAAAATTTATTTTACATAAAATAAATATGTAAAAACAACATATAAATTGTTTGTATTTTTTGTTATATTACGCAAAAGTATTTTTGTTTTATTAAAAAGTGTTTTATGTAAAAATATGTTTTTTTTTGTAATTTATTTTTTTACTTATGTTTTTTCCGATTTACATAATATTAATTTAAGTTTTTGGAAATATAAACCAAGTTTGGCTCTAACCTAGTTAGTTAGAGAGTTGGCTAATGAGGAAGAGGAGCAGGATGTCCCAAGTTCAAATCACCCTCTATTCATTTTTTCTCATTTTTTTGCATTTATGTAAAAGACAAAATTGCAAAAATGATCATGAAATTTTGGTCCAAAAATGTTTTGCGATGAAAAAATGGTTTAATTTTGGATACTTTGTGCATTTGTGGTTCAAAAACATTAACTTAACAAATTGTCTGTTAATTTAAAATGATAATTTTACTCTTACGCAACATTTCTGCAACAAAATTACAAAGATCATTTTTTTCATCTCTTCTTTCTAACTTATTCAAATATTATATATTAATTATTTTTTAATTTATTTTTATTAGATTACTTTTTTATTATAGTAATATATATATATATATATATATATATATATATATATATATTAAAATATAGTATTTTTAATATATAATATTTATATATTAATAAATATTACTTTATTAGATTATTAATTACATTTAGCTAATTACTTTTTAACTTTTTTAAATTATTTCTTTTTTATTGTATTATTATATATTAATAAATATTATTTTCAATATATAATATTTATATATTAAAAAGTATTATTTTATTGGATTATAATTTATTAATAATTGTTTATTCTCTTAACTGTTTTCTTTATTATTTTAAATAAAAAACAAAAAAAAATCCCACCCACCTCACTTCTCATAATTTATTTTAAATATTTAAAAAATAAAATATTTTAGATAACACCACCACCATCATCTAGTTCGATAGTGATGAGATGGGTGAGATTTATTTTTTAAATAAATAAGGATGATGGTGATGTTATCCCAAAAAAAAAAAAAATCCAATAAAAATGAAATTAAAAATTAACTAAAAGAAATTAATAGTCTAAATAAAACAACTCTTTTTCGTCTTCAAAATCTTCCTCTTCTTCGTCTTCCTTTCCAGATCCCTCATTCTCGTTATTAGATATTTGGTCATACGTATTCGTAGTTGAGGCTAGCCATAGTGGTTCCACATGAGTTATAATAAGGGGCAAATCAAACTGCTCTTCAGCCTGAAAGATTTCATATGCTTCCATTTCAGCTTTGGTGACTTCAAATACCCCTCTCGGTTTTTCCTTGATAACCATTCACTTATCTTTCATCTTATTTGTTACTAAAGGGTATGGTGTATATGATGGGTTTTCTAGGTTATAAAAATATTACATGTGGCAGAAAAACAATTCAATCCTTAAGTTCACATACAACCTAGAAATGATCTATGTTTTCTCTATTGATAGCAACCAATTATGAATATCAAGAAACCCTAGGAGAGTGGCTATGAAATCGAAATTCATATCAATTAGGGTTACATACCTTTTTTTTTATTATTATTGCAAATAATCAAAGTTGAATCCTTCTAGATCTTAGAAGCTAGCACCAAATGAATGGATGCATCTAATAGCTTGTACCCAAAACCCTAATAACAAAAAAAACTTGAGGAGAGAGGATGCGTAAGCTAACTTTCGGCTTTATGAAGGATAGAAGGAGTGGAAAAAATAGCAAGATCCAGGGAGGTGTTTATATAGATGAAGGAAACTTGAGGCCAAAGTTAGGGTTTTCAGGATATGGCCCAAATTAATTAATACAATAATCAAGATGCCTTATCTCCTTATCCTAAGCCTCATGAACGAAATTTCTAGGCTAATCCTAGCCAAATTTCGTTCACCCCCATCCCATAGGGTTCTAGAGATTTTCTGCTTCAACTTTCAATAAATAACCAAACAACCCTTGTACTTTTAATTAATTCAATTAATCCCCAAATTAATTCCAATTAATTTCTGATTAACTCCAAATTAATTATTATTATTTATTATTAATATATTAATCATATAATATATTAATAAACCATTTATTCTAATTTATTAATCATATAATAAATCAATAATTCAGCTTCTTCCTTGAAAAGTCATTTCTATCAAATTACTAGTTTTGAGGGCAACTTAAAAAAGACTTTACTTCTAATTCAAGAATATACCAATTTAGCTATTGGCTTAAACACCTTAATCCAATAGTCTCCCACTTGGATAAGTTTGTAACTATAATTGCAAGTATAGACCTTAAAATAAACGACAAAGAGTGCTTTCTATATCCACTACCAAACTCTAATTCAAATAAGCTATTGGCCCTAAGATAAGTGATCAACTATTCCTTCGTTCTTCAAGATATCGTATAAACACAAGACATGGATCAAAATCAATCTCATTGTCCAAAAATTTTGTTTCCCGATTTCTTGATTTATAAAGACTTGATTAGACTTCAAGTTGAACATATCAATTAGTCCTGACTGGGCCCAACACTATATCACTTTTCATGTTAAGGAAAAAGGAACACATTACTATGACTATATAGTCATATAATTTACATGTTAAGGAAAAAGGAACACATTACTATGACTATATAGTCATATAATTTACACATAAAACCACACATGGAATAACCCTTTTTAACACCCAGTTACATGATATGTTTGAGTAAACCAATGCACAACTGATCTGCAAACTATAAACTATATATATCTCTGTTTAAGAATAGAAGATATTATCGTCTTAGAATTACTTGTGGCAAGATCTATCAAGTAATCTCTAAGCGTGGGTTTATCCAATACTTAAAATCCCTATTTTCAAAGTACTCATAAATATTGTAGCAATTCAAATTGCAATGTCTTAACATCAATCAAAAATCTACAATTAATTCATGACAGTCTTAATTCACTACTTACCTCCAAAAGTATGAACGACTGTGGAAGTCTGAATAATTTGAATTAATCAGGAAGTGTAAACATGACAAAAGAAACACAAGAATAAATAATTGAATAAAGTAGTACGATACTTATAAATAATTCTCTATTATTCATTCACCAAATCAATTACATTTATTTTGTTACAAGTTTCAAACATATCACCTAACTACAAAAACTAATATCACCTCTTAGGCCTATGCTCCTAGCATATTGGTAGTGTTTGACTCTACTCAGAGCCTTTAT